AGAGAGATCAAGAGAGGCAGCAAAGTCCAACAAAGCAAGAATAATGAGGAATGTGGATGATTCGCGTATAAACTTGTCAAGTATCACAATGGAGCCCACTGTGGAGAAGCAATTTCTTGACACCTTTAAACAATTGCTTCTTGTAACAATCGTGGAGCACGCAAAAAGAGAGCCTATACTTGGCTTAATTGTAAGTAACAAGGCAGCAATTGGTTCTAAAGTATCTGCAGTTTGAGCTATTAAGCAGTAGTGACTTTAAAGCAAAGAAAATGAATAAACCAAAAGTTTAGCATTGAAAATAATACTATATTTGAAGGAAGGAAAAGAAACAAAACCAAACTAAACTGAATACTGATCCTTTCACTTGAGACAGAGAAAAGGTAACTCTTTAAATTGGTTGCAACTTACGTGCAGAGTTAGAGGGATAATGAACAAAACAAGGAAGGGGGAAAGCAAGAATTTTTCTAGTATAGCTAAATGAAGAGGTTTAATAGGTCATCAAAACCAGACTGAGTTCTTCAGAACTTGGAAATATTAACTCAAATGAAGCTATTGAAATTGTGTATAAACTTACACTGTGCTGTGGGCAAGAAGGAAATGAGAAAAAAGAGAATGCAATTCAGACAATAAGTTAAAGACCAAACATGCCAGCTCAGTCTCCTTTTTGACATGGCACAAGGCCTGAAGTCAGTCCAGAGGGAGCTCTGCTACACCAGATTTCATTGCTAGACTAGAAGACCTTTGAGACTCAAATTAGTGGCTAGAGGGCACATTTACTGTACAAGAGACTCTTAATTTGAGATTAGAGCTAATTATTGCACATTAAGTTTCATTGTCTACACATGTAGACGCTTACTACGCAGTAACCTGCTCTAATCTCAAGTAAATTTGCTATCTGTAAAGACAAGTAGCACATTCACTCTCTAGATTTCTTACTGAGCAGTAGCGTACGTGTAGATGCCTGACCAGGAGCACATTTGCTCCCAGGCAGCTGGAGACAGGAGATTACTCCCTGCCTCCTTCATCCCGCATTATTCGCATGTGTAGATGCACCCAGGGAAGTAGTTGCACCATGTGGGTTCATGTCATATTGGGCCGTGTAGACTTGGGGATTATGCTTTGGAAAAGGTGGTGGCAATATGGGGGGCAGCGCTGGTGTGGAACCAGAAGGAATGGCATGCACTGTATGCATCAAAACTTTGGAATGTCATGTCCTTTGATTTATTCATTAAGTGAATATTAGTCTTTATGATAAATATACATGTTGTTCCATATTCACCATTCAACACTCCAAAAAACTGAGCATGTTGGGTTTAAATGCTGCAAATAATGTGGTTAATGCTTTTTCCAAAGGGTAGTATTAAACCTTATGACGGGTGTGAAATATTCAACTCTAAAGTTTTTGTAATGTCACCCACTTAATATTACAATTTAGCTGTCTTTTTTGCTTGTAGTGGTTATGAACAGGTACCTGTAAGAAGCACTTGCTTAAATTACATTTTTATAGCATCTTTGGAAGAGAGTATCAAGCATATCAGCTGGGGGCAGTAAGAATGTTTTGCGTATTATACCAGCAAGCAAAGATCTTAACCCCTAACCTTTCCGGTCTGCTTTTTGGCTAGAAAGTACATATTTGGGGTAGAATAGAATTCAACACACAGCATTTTTCTGTGGCCACATGCACGGTTTTGGTGATAGAAATGAGTTGGTTAAAGTTAAAATCCCATTCATCCTCTGCAAGAGCTCTTCAGCCTGCATAAATTTGTAGAAGCACTCTGGTTTACCAACTGAATACTTCTGGGGAGGCATAGATTGATATGTAGAGAGAAGTTCTTCCTGAAAGATCATTGTTCCTAAATAAAAGGAATATATATGTTAAACTAATGTCTTCCAGATAGAATATAAGTGCCTTAGATAATAAGCAATATATGAGCTCTTGAGGAGGTGGAAATAAGCAAGAAATATGAATATCTGTTTAGTGGATGTGTTTTGGTCATGAAGGAGTATAATTCACTACAAGGACAATTAGTGTCGGATTATAGGGGCAACAAAGTAAATGCTGCTTTTGTTTTCTGCTTTTATTAAAGAGTATGTAGAAAGTACTGCTATTCCTTCCCCTCCCCGCAAGCATTTAGACCCCCTTGTCTTTAGCAAGATCTTTTATTAGACCAGCTGAGTAGTTGGAAAAAAGTTCTTTGAAAGCATTTGGGGACAAGCACCCTTCTTCAGGCATAGGGTGTCTCTGCTATTCTGAGATCTCCAAGGAATAAAAGAAGCTAAAAGTGACAGGATGTCAGTGAGAATGTAAATAGGTGGAAGTTTGCACTTATGTCCTTAGATCAACACGAGGACAACAAAAAACCCTGTCTTGAGCAACTGCATTTTATATATAATATCCATCACAAAGCTTCCAAAGATTTTAGAAGGTATTTGGCAAGCACTTGAATTGTTATCTTGCTCTTGATACCCATTAGGGCTGTGCGAAATGGCACCGTTCCATTTTGCCTTGGGTTTCAACAGTTCAACAGAACAGCATTCCATTTCTAATTTAATTTCAATTTGAAACAGCTGTTCTGTTCTGTTCCATTGAAACAGCGTCGAAACAGCCTTTCTGTTTCGACGTTTCACTGGGGATGGGGATTGTGCCGGGGGCGGGAAGCAGCCCAGCTGGGTTGCTTCTCCGTCCCCAGTGCTAGGCCGCTGCCTCCCGCCCCAACATGATCTAGAAACAGGGATGGGAAAGCAGCCCAGCTGGGCTGCCACCCCGCATCAGCACTGGGAGAGGGGGCTCTACCCTGCCACTGCTTGCCCTGCTGGCATGGGTGGGGGGGGCAGGTGCTGCCGCTGCTTGCCTGCTGGCACGGGGGAGCATTGGGGGGGTGCTGCCACCGCTTGCCAGCCGGGGTGGGAGGGGGCTGGCGCTGCTGCTGCTTGCCAGCTGGGGTGGGGGGCTGGGCAGTGTCGCCGTTTGCCCAGCCAGTGTAAAGGGGGGCGAGCGCTGCTGACAGTTGTCCAGCTAGCACAGGGTGGGAGCTCAGGATGCAGGTGCAGCACTGCTGGGCATGGAGGATATGCCCTGCTGCCGCTTGTCCCCTTCCACCTGGAGCAAGCCGCGTTCGCGTCCAGCCCCTGCCCCCCCCAGCTGGGCAAGCGACAACAGGGCATAGCCCCTGCTCTGAGTGCTAGCACGCCTACATGTCACGCCCCCTGCACCCCTCTCCCCTCTCAAAGTCCCATGCCTCCTGCCCTGGCTGGGCAGCTTCTCCCAGACCTAATCCCTCCCTTGCTGTGGGGGCATCAGTCTGCCCCCTCCCATGCCCCTTCCCTCCCTGCTGTGCCCACCATAACATACTTAGCAGCTGGAGACAGCTGTGTCCAGTGTGCTGAGGGCTGCTGTCTGTTTAGTCTATGGCCAAATCTCCGAATAGGCCGAATCTTCTGAATCTGTTCAGAGGCTTCCAATTCAATTCAGAGCTTTTAATTGGTCTCCCTTCTTTATTTGGATTTGGAGATTCGGTCACCGAATCAGGCTGAATCTCCTCCAAATCTAATCCACTACTGAAGCTCCGCACAGCTGAGTTTCACAATGGATTAATATTTTGTTGATAGAAGAAATCATCAATTGAAATTCATCTCCTTTTCCCTCTAAAAATAGATGTTTTGGGTTCCAGGTATATTTTTCTCTGTCCTGCTGTTAATCACCTTTGGGCTGACTCTTTCTTTCCTCATTTATTTATTTATTTATTATTTTGTGTTGGATACAAAAACACAAATATTAAACCAGCATTTATAAAATTATTAGTTTGTGAATTAACTTCTGGCGTTCTGAATAACATTTGCATTTCTGAGTGCTATGAAATACTTATTTTCTAATGCGTTAGGTTAGTCAGACTTCTCAAAGCGTCAGTTGACTATACCTTAGTCCAGAAAATAAGTTAAAATGTCATTGGCCATGATTAGGCTTAAGTATGTATTTACGTTTTTTGCAGAATTAGGTTCCTGGAGAGGCGCTAAGCTTTTTCCTCTTCAATTAACCTCCTTCCCACCCATAGTCTTTCTCCCTTAAACATATTTCTTCTCTAGTTTTTTTTTTTAAAGAAAAATGTGTTTATTGCTACCTGCTACCTTCAGAGCCTTCAAATAAGTGAGTTTTTTAGTTTCTGCCATGAACACTTGAAACCACGTTGATTCTCTGAACCATACATGATGATGCATAACATACAGTTTACGCTGGAGATCCAGCTTGTTGCAGTGTCAGGAATGAGAGGCCTTCGTGCTGCCTTTCTGCATTCTTTGTTCTTTTTAATGTAGGCTTGCAAGATTAACCTGAATATTTTACTAGCCTAAGTGCAAATCTCCATCAAGCTGCTGATGGTGAGAAGGAAAGCCCTGGTGTTTTCTTTGCCTATCAATAATACTTTCCTTGAAGCTGTTACAAAATTGTATACTAATAGATGCATAACAGTACAACTGAAGAATGTACTACCATTCCAGGGTTCAGTTTCAGGATATCTGGGCATTTGGACTGAAGATCTAGCAAATTTAGAAATTTGTAATGGAGCTAAAGATATCCAGGATATAAAATGGTTCTACTGTAGGTAGAAGCAAAACACCTTTAAAAAAAGGGGGTGAGGGGAGAGAAGAGGGTATCATGAAGGAAAGAAACAGAGATTTGTCCATTAGCATGTTAAAATGTTTGAAGCTTATGTTACAGTAGCCAGCTGACAAGAAATTCTCTTCATGTGTTGCTTGGTGCCAGCTGGATAAACAACACACAGAAGAGCTAAAAATTAGCCAATACTTTAAGATAAGCACCTTACAACCATTTTAAAAATGATTAAGTTCTTTTAACTTGAAAAATTCATTGCCAACTTGATATGATTATGGAAGATGCAACTGACAACCCTCTGGTTTTATCCCTCTTTTTTCACATTGAGCTGTTTACATTGAAAGTATATTTTCAGTTCTGCCTAACATGATACTCTCTCTTGTTTTCACAGGCCGAGGCTGCAAGCACAAAGGAAGTTTGCTCAGTCCCAGCCAAACAGTCCCAGCACAACTCCAATAAAGATAGTGGAACCATTGTTACCCCCTCCCGCTACTCAAATATCTGACCTCTCGAAAAGGAAGCCCAAGACAGAAGATTTCCTTACATTTCTCTGCCTTCGAGGTAGGAATCTTGCAGCAACCTAGGGAAATAATCAGTAATCCGGAGAACAGGATGCAGTGCCCCATGCTGGGAGTACTGCCTGGTGCAGCACTTGAGCGTGCTGCACACATTATTGCACTCATTTCCAATCAGTAATGTGACTGAGCAGAAGGAGTAGGTGTCCAGCACTCCTGTGTGTGTATATAGGAGTGTTAGACTCCATCATTATCAGACTATAACATGAGGCCAATAATTTTGCAAAGAGAAATTTCTTTTCATGCATAGTACCCTGTCACCCTGACTAGGTTTTTGTCTCCCTCCCTGTCCTTTATTCCCTCACTTTGTCTGCTTGAATAAGTCGAAGCTCTGTTTAACCCTCTGTATGTCATTTCCACAAAGAGAGGAATTCTAGTTAGCTCTTCTGTTTCTCCACATATAGATGCCCTTTAGTCTGTCCTCACTGTACCTGCTTTGTCTGATTAGAACAAAAGCTTGACTTTGTCTTTCTCATTGCTCTCCAAAATATTGTTTACTACATGATAACTAATGCATATTAGCTGTTTCACTGTCAAATCCTATTGGAGAGAAGGCAGCTGTAGGCTTATAGTGGGGTAGGTGGTTGCGGTCAGTAGCATAATGAGTGATGCATCAGCCCTAGTTGCCACTTAGGGCACATGAACAGCAGTTGCCATCACTGCTGGCCAAGTTTCCACTGGTGCAGCTGGCACAGCCTCAGCCCAGGGCCCAGACCCTCTCTGTTGCTCACCTGGATAAGGTGAACACTGTACCCTTCACCGGGGGTTGAGGTCACCTACTTTCCTTACAGAAAAATTCCTGGTGTCTGATCTTTGATGTGGTTTTACAGTAGGGTGGCTAATATGTGATAGTGACCTTGTAGTAAGAATGTGCCTTTCTGAGCAATGAAGACAAAACCTTTGAGTGATGTTCAGGTACTTTTTGTCTTGTGGTGAAATCAAAGGAAGAGATCCTGTTTGTGTGTTGTGCTATTCAGCCAAGTTGCATGCTGTTTTTCCCAGGATAGGATTTGTCCTGCCTCTGCATAGGGTCCTGAGGGCATTTTTTTCATGTTCTATCTCCTAATAGTGGCACTAGACCCAAGTTATAGCCATATTTCTTTCAATGTCAAGCTTGCCAGTTCCTGCATAGCTATTCAGTGCTTTATGCTTTATGTGCTAGAGTGGATGATTGCTGTTTCCTTTGCCCTTTCCATCCTGTTCCTTGATGTAAAGAAATGTCCTTGTTCCTGCCCTGGCTACCCCATCCTAGTCTAGTGACACCACTGAAGTTTGCCACTGTCATCTATTATATCAATTTACTACTCTCACATCACAGATTTCTATTGCTGCTGTTACAGCAGGGGCAGATTAATGCATGGGCACAGGGGCCTCTGCCAATCAGGGGCCCCCTGGGGGCAGGAGCCCACTGCACTCCCCAGCCTGCAGGCGAAAGTCCTGTGAAGCACTGAAACTCCTTCATGTGTTAAATGCGTGAGAGCCAGTGGGAGGTGGTGGCTGACTGCTAACTTGTCTGACTGCTCCATAGGGACAACTGGGGTGAGGCAGCACTGAGGATCCCCCCTGTCCCTGCCCCTCACTGCCCAACTGGTCTCTCTCTCTCTCTCCCATTCCTGTGCCTGAAAGGAGTCTGATCCTGCCTGCCCTCCCTCCCTCCCTCCCTTCCTCTCAGGGGTCAGGTCTCAGGGGGTCTGCAGCTCTCCCAAGTGATGGCACCTCATGTGGAGAAGTATGAGCTCTTCCAAGGAGTCATTAGATACAGGTCTGTCTGTCTAGAGAGGTACGTTAGATAGAGAGAGAAAGAGTGTGCATGTGTGTATGTATACATCTATGTAGCTAGCTATATAGAGAGGGATACATGTATATAGAGAGGGATTATGCATGTGTGCATATTATTGTATATATCGACATAAAGTTTAGCACATGTTTAAAGTGTCAGTAAAGATATTGAGATGTATTATGTAGGCCTACTGCTTTATTGTAATTGCAAGAATCACTAATTTAACAGTATTCTTAGACTCTTACTTGAGGCTATAGGTCTGGCATGTATTTTTCTTGTAGTAGTTTACCGTAGTGTAGGTACAATGTAAAATGTGTATTTAAAAAAAAGTAGTCAAATGAGTCTACATGACCACTGAACTAAAACATCTTTCCTTTCATGCTGTTATACATTTATGGTGATCCCATGCATCTGAGTCATTTTCCTAAGGCAGTTGTTTTATTCAGTTTTGTTTGGCAAAATTGAGTAGTTAATTTTGACATCACGTGTTGTGCTTTATTTATTAATGCACCATGTAAACATTTAAAGGGCCTATTTGTTAATGCTTTTTGAAACATTCATGTTTATAATGCAGTGTGAGGGGGGCCTCTAATTTTCTGTTTGCCCAGGGCCCCAGTAAATCTTAATCCACCCCTGTGTTACAACACTGTGCTCCCAACTCAAAGGTGACTGATCAGTACCACCCAGAGCTGTCTCCCTTGATTTTTCTCCTCCTAGTGAAGCATGGTTGAATATCCGCCTTTAAATGCATTCAACTGCTCATAAACTTGGACTGAGGATGCTAAATTATCTATCTTGATGCTCTCATTCAGTCTGCAAAGTTCTCCTCTGAAGAGGGTTGAGGATGGTCAGGGTTTTTTAATAGATGGATTGTGAGAAGTTGAATCCAGTGGAGTCTAAAATCACAAGCTAGTCCCTTGAAAGCTAATCCATGGAAATGTATTTCTAATTTACTTTGCTGTGAGGTTGTTCAGTCTGTTGGCAGCCTGCAACTGCTGTGCTCTGGGCCAATTGACACAGTTTGTTTGTGGGAAAATTCAGCTGGCGTGTGTGCGCACATGGGCACATTCACACAGATTTTTTTTTTTCTGCGGCTTACTTATTAAACATATATTGTTATAGCTTTCCTCAGATGTGGGAGCTTTGAAAAATCACTTGAATGGGAGAGGGAGACACACTTTTTTCCTCCCTTAACGTTCTGATTTTAATAATGCAATAATGAGACATGGATATCTTGTCCTAATCCACTACTATAGTCTGAAATATTTTCTCTCAGTAATGAACATTTGGATCTCATACCTGTAATTTCTTCTAGCAGATGTTCAGCTGTAAAGAAATACATGTTTTATAGTGTGGTTGAAGATTTGCAATCCGTTCTTAACTTCTTCAAAATGCAAAAGTGTTGGTTTCTTTCACACAGTGCTTGCACATTTAAAAAAAAAAAAAAAAAAAAAGATTGATTTTTCTCTCTTCCCCCCACCTAAATGCTAGAGGGGAAAAGCAGTGGGAGAGCTGAACTTGGGTGTTTTAATCAAGCCCCTTTAAAAGACTGATAGTGGAATCAGAGAGGCTTTCTGCCCCCTGATCCATCCCCTGTGCATGCTTCTGTCATTACCTTATAGGTTAAGTACAGATGGTCAAAAAGCCTGAAGCTGAATTGATTCAGTCTTTGCAGGTTAGTTTAAGCTGCAAAATTTGAATCAATAAGCAGATGAACAGACATTCACTTCTGATTCAGGAAATGCAGCCACATGCCTGGAGTGGTTCAAGCTAGAAGCCAGGGGGTGCTACAGCATGGGTTACTGGCATGTAGCCAGCATGGGTTGTGCATTCATTTCCTCTTCCTGCTGCCCGTGAGGTCTCTGGGATTTTCATTCCACATTCACAGCAGCTGGACTATGTGGGGTTGCTCATCACTTCTTCTTCCTGCTTCCAGATGCCTCTAAGATTTGTAGTCCACAGTTGCAGTCAGTACTAAGTAAGCAGGCCAGGGCAGCTCTGCACTCGGCAGAAGGGATATTTAACTCCCCTCCCTGGCCTCAAACTCTAGCAGGGGTTTGCCGGGGGGGGAGGAAGCAGGGTAGTGAGCCAGCCCTCTGCTCTGAATAGGGAGCAGAGGGGTGGGGCCAGCCCTGTTCTCTGGAGCAGACAGCCCAGCCCAGGGCTGCAAAATGGTGGGATGCTGGGGGACTCTGATTTAACCTGAACCAGGAAGGGGTCTGGGACAGAAGTTTCATCAACCAAGTTAAGTCTGATGCTATATTCAACCAAGTTTATCTTAAACCAGTTTCAGCCATTTTGAAACTGGTTTATGTGCCCTAAACTTCTGTTCTGTTACGGGTTTAAACCAGTTTCTGACCTCTTAAACCAATTGATGTGTAAGCTCTATCCTTAGCCATTGAGTCTGGGGCTTTGGATGGGGCTGCAGCCACCCCAGAATTCTCCATACCACCCCCTCCCAGCGCTGCCCTGGCCCAGCCCGCAGCAGTAACCTGCCCTCACCCCATGCACAGATCCGGGAGCACATGCCCCCCATATGCCCTTCTAGGGGTGTACGTAGTGGTGGGAGCTGCCTCCTCTCCCCCTGTTGAGCCATTTGCAGCTCCATCCCCCACTCCCTTGTGCACTACAGGGGCCTCAATCTGCCCTCCTCTTCCTCCCCCGCTCCCCACAACACACTTACCAGCCAGACCCAGCTGCTCTCGGTGCTGCTGGGCTGCACATATGTACGGGCATTTATCTGTGGTATTGTCGGCCACATCAGCCAAAAAAAGCTGATTGCCAATTCAGTCAATTTTCCTTGTATCAATGCTGATCCAATACGGGACGTGTATGTGTGTGTGTGTGTGTGTGTGTCTGTTAGTCAATTTTCCTTGTATCAATGCTGATCCAATAGGGGACGCGCGCGTGTGTGTGTGTGTGTGTGTGTGTCTGTTAGTCAATTTTCCTTGTATCAATGCTGATCCAATACGGGACGTGCGCGCGTGTGTGTGTGTGTGTGTGTGTGTGTGTGTGTTAGTCTCATCTTCCTAAAAGGTCAGAGTCGCCCATGTAAGAAAAAAATTATATATAAAAATTTTATTATGTTGATGATACCGAGCTTGTCAAGAGATGCGACTGAGATTGATAAAGAATGTGGGAAGTGACCCCCGTCCCTCCATCCTGACACGTGCAATCAATGCTGGGTGGAAAACTTCAAAGGTTCT